TTGTTATCAGAGATTCTGAGCAGTTAAGTGAGGAAAAGTGACACAAGTTTGTGTGAGATGCAAAATCCTAAAAACCTCATACATTATTTTTATTCACTATTATGTGAATATTGAATGTGTAATATCACTGCAAACCTGTTGGTAAGGATATCCTAATGGTCATTTTTGGATCCAAGATGCCTGTTTCTGATGCAGAGCATGTGTGCGTATTGCCTATTAATTAGTAACAATAAACATATTCTTAGTGAGGCTGCACGAATAACTATGAATTTCTGATAGACAGCACCATTTCATGAGTTTTGAAACTCCACAAAGGTTTTTGTTTTTTGTCATTTGGCATTATCAACAATTCACCGTTGTCTTGCTGGTTGCAGGGAACATTATGGATAGTCAAATATCGATTTTGAGCGTATTGTGGAGTTCTACAGAATATAGCAAGATGTTTTTGTATACGTGTGTGTGCGTGTGTGTATGTGTGTGTGTGCGTGGACACGTGGTGGCTGCAGCCCATTGGAGAGCACAGGGCTTTGGTATGCAGGCTGCTATGTAAATAGGAAAAGAGGGTAACGATTATCTAATTACAGACGTGATAAATCTGCTCTGCTTTGGCGTTATTTGATTTGAATTATATATGTATCCATTAATTCTACTGTATGGATGAAGGTCTCGTTTTTCCTCCATGCACACAATTTATAAGCTATCTGAGGGCTGCAGACCGGCTTTGGTCTCCTTTGTCCAGTGTGTTTTGTTGGGGGGTGGGGGGGGGGGGGGGGGGGGGGTTGGCAGGACCAATAAGAGAGGGAGCAAGTTTCGGTTTTAATGTAAAGGGACATCAGTAGGAACAATGTTCATATATTTTATGGGGTGCATGTTCACTGTTGTCAGGTTTGGACAGGTTCAGCTAAAAGGCAAACAGAGAGGTTTGGCTTTCATGCAGACACATCTCTGCTGCGTTGTTGGTTTGAAGAAAGGCTCCCAAATAAATCATCATAATGATTCTCAAAAATAAGAAATGTAGATATTTATCTTTGTTCCCCATTGTCTTTATTAATTTTTTCCACATGTACAAGCACATACAAAGCAAAGACAACACACACACACACACACAAAAGGACCAAAAACGTACATTACATCACTGCTAAATTAGATAATAAACTACCAAAGACATCCACTGACATGACAGCACTTAAAGTAAAGAAGTACAAAATAAAACATAAATACAAAATACAAATATAAAAATATAAATAAAAAAAGTTACACTTCCTCTCTGTTCAGTTCTATGTATATAAAGATATGAATATATATCCTAGATAATCAATGTAGCCTAAGTGTTTGTTTTATTTCTAGTGTATGTAACACAAAGCCGTTTTCTCATCTGGGAAACATTTACACACGTACATAATTTAAAAAATATATATATATATATATTGTTTATATTGATCTATTGCATTTATATTTGTATGTATATATTTGTAATGATTATTTTTAGGTTACTTTTTTTTTTTTTTACAAGGCAAAGTACAAACTATTGCTAAACTATAACTTCTTCTTCTTATATTCCCCTTTTCAGAAACAATTAATGACCTAATTTATTATTATAACAGGCCTACCGTTTAAGCCTGTGCGTAAAAGCGGAAATGTCCACTTAATTATTGAACAGTTGGCAGCAAAAAGTTTTGGTCAACATTTTACGCACAGCAGCACAATCCGAGCCGAGTCTATCACGGTCTAACATCGTCACTGATTTAACATTAATGTCAGGAAATCTCATAATTTAGTTTCTCTACAAACCAATCGCTCTTTTTCCACCATCGACAAAAACTTTTCTCTGTTCGTGTTTGTAAAAAAAAAAAAAGCTCCCTCGAAGCAGCGTTTTCCGGTTCTCGTTGCTCCTCCATTTTCTAAACACAAAGTTGTTATTGCACCATTCCTCGGATCTAGCCCCTACATTTAATACAACGTGTAATTTCCCCCCTTTTACCGTATTCCCTTTGATTTAGTCACTCTTGACTCTCCTTTTGCTCTGGGGCCAACGGGGTTCGCCGTGGGGGGCGCCTTGAAACCGCCCCTCCTTATCTCCTTTCATCGTTCAGCGCGGGGCCGCCTTGAAACCGCAGGGGCAGTAATTGCTTTTTTCAGGCAGCCCAGTGCGGACTGGCCAGCAGCCAATCAGAGCCTTGTTTACACTCGGTGATTGACAGAGTTCTGGCGGCGCGCCAGCCAATCCGGAGCCTCGTAGATCCGAAGCCCCCGAGTTTTAACCCTTTGCCTCCACGTATAAACAAACCTGCACCGGGAATATTAGCCTATAGCAGCTCATATATTTCGACATGGAAACACACAAGCCCATATCCTTCCACTTTTAATTGGCGAAATTAGTGAACCGTGCGCGAGGCTAACCCCGGAGACAGTAATGCTTTCAAATTACGCAGTGATTCAATTTGCCCGTGTGCGTGACAGAGACAGGTAAACAGACACCATAAAATAGATTTTAAAAAGTAACTTTATTATCCCCTTTTTCTATAAAATATATGTTATTTTTAATATTGCTTGATGACAGAATCCTTCATGTATGTGGATGGATAAAGTGAGCTGATACAGAACAAATGCATGTTCATGGAGTCAGACAATGTGCCTGGCTTTATGGACGAAGCAGAGAATTATAATGGATGAATTCTCCTTTAGATTCACTCCCAGTGGACACATTTTCTATATCAAACTTACACTTAACTGTACGCCTGTCAATTAAACCTCTGTCTTATCTTAATGTGGGCTGTGTGCAAAAAAAAAGCCTTTCATTGCCAGCCTATACATGTTCAATAAATCACACAGTCTACAAATAAGGATTTATTTAGCAAAACACATGCAGTGGGGCGAGAGGAAAAAAGGGGAATGTTCCCTAAAGGAGCATCAATAAAACCATCACATCATCGCAGCAAAATAACGATGCAGCATTTGAACCGAGCTGCAGTGGGATCACACGGAATAGACTAGATGCTGTTTGCTCTCCACCAGTGATCAGAAAGTGCAGGCGGCGCCGCACGGCTCTGGTTCCTCCGCTCTCTCCGCACACTGAGCTGAGCTGAGCCGAGATGTGCCGCCTGTCTCCCCGCATTTGCTGTGCATGCAGTGCGCCGAGGGCTGCAAATCAAACGCCCGCCGTTTCGCTCCGCGGCTCCGGAGGCTTCCTCATTGGCTCCGCGCTGCAGCCAATGGCAGCGTGTGTTTACCGTCGAGGGGTGGTGGTGGTGGTGGGGAGGGGGTGTGTGTGTAGGAAAGGGTGTGTGTGTAGGAAAGGCTGAGGTGGGGGCAGTGGTGGAAGAAGTATTCAGATGCTTTACTTGAGTAAAAGTACCAAGATTCAAAGGCTTTATTGTCATTTCCACATTGAAAAACGTAAGGCTCCTCCAACAATGCAACATAAATATATGTTAGACATAAAACGCATTTTAAAAACAATGAAAATAGTACAAGATGAAATAGAGAATCAAATAAAAATAGTGCAGGATTATGTTGCAAGACCAATCTGCAAGTATGACATTTAAATATAATACAGTAAGCTAATGTTGCAGATCCTGTTGTAGTGACCAAGTGAATGCCTTATTTACATGGTTACATTATTTACAATGACATTATGGGCAAAATACTTCATTATGTAGTGCCTTTATGTGTGTATATGATTATATGTATATGATATTTACATAATGGTGCATCAAGTAGTGTTTTACTAAAGGGGTCTTATTGCAAACTAATTCAATATGTAGCATAAAATGGAAATATTCAAGTGAAATACCTCAAAAGTGTCCACAGTATTTGAGTAAATCTACGTAGTTACATTACACCACTGCTTTTACTTTGGTACCTTAGTACTTCCTACACCTCTGTTTACTTGAGTCAGATTTGGAATGCAAGACTTTCACAGAATATTTTTACAAATGTGTTATTGCTACCTTTACTTAAGTATCTAATCTGAGTACTTCTCCCATCTGTTAAAAGAACGGGTCTTGCTGCACATTTACTAAATATGTTAAATAAATATAGTGGAGTAGAAATTACAACATTTGCCTATAAAATGTATAGTAAAGTTTAAAGTAGCAAACATTGAAATACTCATGTAAGGTACCTCAAAATTGTATCAAAGTAGTACTTGAGTAAATGTACTTAGTTACTTTACACCACTTATCTCAGACTTGTAAATGCTACTTTTCCTAAAGTATAACATCAGAGTACTTCTTCCACGAGACCTTGTCCCGCCTCTGTAAACAGTAAAGAGAAGAGGCCTATAAATGTAGTGGAGTAAAAATTACATTATTTCCCTTTTTTAATGTAGTGGAATAGAAGTAGAAAGTAGAATAAACTGGAGATATTCATCTTAAGTACCTCAAAAGTGTACTTAAGTACAGCACTTAAGTAAATGTACTTAGTTACTTTACACCACAGATTTGGAATGAAAGACTTTCAATTGTAACAGAATATTTAAAAAATGTTATTGCTGCTTTTACTTTAGTGCTGTGAAGTAACTAACTTAATATGTAAAATACATGTAGTGACAATTGCATTATTTCCCTTTTTTAAATAAAAGTATTTGTAGAATAACATGGAAATACACAAGTAGCCTATACTAGTACGTCAAAATAGATTTTACTTTTGCAAAAAACCTGATAATTTAGCACTTCTGCTTTTTCCTGAAGTCAGATTTTGAGTATAACATTTTAATCTAAAATTATAAAGTAGAATAAAATGGAAATACTCAAGTAAGTAAACTCAGAACTGTCCTTAAGTACAGTACTGTAGTAAATACTTAGTTACTCCCCACCCCTGGACGGGAGGAGGGTGGAGGGGGCGCCTCACGGGCACGCTTTCACATTGTCGTTCTCAAACCAATAGGCCCGCGCTCTCACCCCTCCCCATCCTCCTCCCCCCCCCCCCTCCCTCCCCCCTCCTGTCTGAGTCTCGGGCTGCATACACGAGCCTCGCTTCACTACAAGCCTGAACTTCTACGATGCGTCTCTCCCATACCTCCACACAGTCTGCACAGAGGATGTAATCAATCCCACATGTTTCATCTCTGCGACTCGGGGATTTTCACTTTGAATATTTTTATACTTTTTCTTTCATTTTTAATATAACCGACTCGCCTTGGATATAACTTACCAGTAAGTGAGCAACATTATTTTACAGCTCCGTGTTTTATATAATCTTTAGTGATTGTGCTGCTGGATGTACATTTTGGTTCTCGTGTGTGAGAGGATTATCTAAAAACTCCCAGTTTTATTTAAATTGATTTTTACTCTATTATTATTCACTGTCATACCTTTGGAGAAATGCAAGCTGGTATGACTGCCATCAGAATAATCTAAAGACATCCTTCAGCCAGTGTGTTTGCAGTAAAGCAACACATCTTGTGCTTTTACAGTATTACGGTAAATACAGTATTATGAAGGATTTATTTTCGGATTCTGTCCAGTGTGTCACTTTCTGATTTGACCTCTCTTCACAGCCGAATTACTCTTGTGTGTTTCCGATTCATTCAGAGGACTATTCAACACCACTCGCTTTACATTAAACCTCCTCATGTTTTTAGTTTTAAAGATGCTAAATTGTAGATTATTCTTTGTTAGTTTCTTATTTTCTGGGCAGGAAGCAGACGGGGCAGTTTTATTGCAAACTGCAGCCCTGCCTCCCCCCTCCTCCCCCGGCATGGAGGCAGCAGACGCCGGGCTATCCTCGCCTCGGCTGGGCTTGTCTCTCCTGTTTAACCGGCCTCTGAACATCCGGATTTACTGTCTCACTTATTCCCTGTGACTTTACTTTATTGCAAAATTGTTGAAGGCAATGACTTGTCCTCTGAACCAGTGCCACTTCAAAAATAAATGCCCCCTTTTTTTTTTTTAAATACCTGTCATCTTTTGTCCAAAGATCCACGCGTTTATGATTTCGCTCTAAATTGTACAAAACACGAATTTTTGGTTTGAAAACAACGCGATATCTGAAATATACAATTGTTTGCAGAATTACTGGCGTTGGTGTTGAGTTCATGTGATGTCATTTTGGCGAGTATTGGTCACTTTTGTGGAGAGGATTTTTTTCGTCTGGCGATAGTTTGACCCTTTGAGGGGCAGCAGTGCTGGTGGGTGTGTGTGCGTGTTTGGGAAGTGTGTGTGTGCGTGTTTCGGTGTGTGTATGGGCTTTGGGGGAGTCTAGGTGAAGTGGAAGGAAGTCTGAATGCTTTCCACACACATACGCGCACACACACTACAGTAGATCCAAATGCCCCCCTACCCCCCAAACTGTTACGCGCGATCTGCTCACGTCGTTTTGTTTGCGTGGCCAGCGATAACACGGGATTTAGATTCGGGTTGTTAAATGTAGCCTGAGTGGCTCTCCGTTGACGTGGAATGTAAACACCGAAGACGTGTGTTTACGGCCTGAAAATTTAAAAATGTATAGACAAATGTCAGCCGAGAGTGGTTTATGATTGATGTCCCGTGGAGAGGGGCCATTGTTTCTCCCAGCCGAGGGGACAGGAGAGAGTCCATTTTGCCTTCCCCCTGTGCGCTTTGCAGTATAGCCTCTCGGTTCTCCCTCATTCCTTCTCTGGCTGTGGTCAAAAACGATAAGGTGGTGCTCACAAACAAAAGGGGAATTACATTATTTAAATACGTGCATATATCATTTAGAGAAGCATTTAAAAAAGGTGCATGCATTGGGTGTTTTATCCTGAGAGTGTTTGTGCGCAGAGCTGCTGAACTCTGGAGAATTTTCCCTCCTCAAAACACAATTCCTGAAAGTTGGGAGTCCTTCAGCCTGTGGAAGTGTGTGTGTGTGCGTAAAGGAGACTTGAATGGATTGAAGATTCAAAGGCTTTATTGTCATATGCATAGTTATGGCCATGAAAGTCCCCTGCTACTCCAACAATGCAACATCAATATAAAAGACATGTTTTAAAGAATAAAAATAGTGCAAGAAGAAACTGATTAGAAATGAAATAGTGCAAGATTAGGTTACAAGTCCAGGTAATGCAGGAGAACTATGTCAAAAAATTACAATCAGCTGTATGTTGCAGAGAATGTTGCAAGTAAATGTAGAAAAAGTTGGGAGTCCTTGAGCCTGTGAAAGTGTGTGTGTGTGGTAAAGGAGACTTGAATATCCGAGCTCCTATATTCCTCTGCACTTCATAAGTCCACCAGAGCATTTGATATTTTCTTTGTTCCTTTATCGTTGATTCCTGGGAGGTGCTATCAGCTTCTATGGACGTGCCATGCATTGAGAGGCCTAATAGATGCACTGCTGAGGTGTGTTTTTGGTGAATGCAGGCACTATCTGCGCGTCACGTGGAGCCCTATTTAAGTAAATGACCTGGGCTATAAGGCATACATATAAAGTCGATGATTTCCTAGTCTATTTCACTGTTTACTGCCTCGCTCTTTCGCACTGGAGCATAAAGGTGATGTGATTTGTGTTTGTGATTACACTGTAGCCTGTACTGTATGTATGTGTGCAGCAGAGATGCATGGTGTGTGCCATTGCCAGGAGGCGAGGAGGGGGGGGGCAAAGCTGCTGACCCCCGTAGGAATTGACAGAAATAGCTGTTTTATCACCATTTTCATTAATAAGCAACACCACAAATAGGAATCCCACTATAAAAACGCCAAACAATAAAGGGGAAACAAGTTTGTGTAAAAAGACGTCAGATTGAATTTCTAAAAGCTATACGTCAAATAACATTGATCCAACATGTGAGATCTTGTATAAATCCTATGTTTTATAGCCCCTTTTTTTCTTTAAATATCCTCTATAGTGTTAAATTATCACGTTTTATGACAACTGAATGAGCAAAGAAATCAAATTTACATAAACAACAACATCCATTAATCATAGCGGAAACGTGTGTGTTTTGTTTCTGGGTTTTTGGCACTATGGGGACTGAGGTTTGGGAATAGATATTAGTCACCATAATTTAAGGTTTTTTTTGTGCATGCTTGCCCAGAAGTATTGGTTTTCTTCATATTTTAGTGCAAGAGCCCCCGAGGTCCAGCTTGTTTATGACCAGTGCTTGTTCAGTCTAAAGACTTAACAACTCGTCCTTCATCGAGGCTTTTTTCGTGTGTGAACTCTTATACTGTATATACACCATTTGTTTGTACCTGAGCCAAATCTCCTCCTTCCATTTCCATTCTTTTCGCTGATAAAGAAAAGCCCCCGTGTATGTTATTTGCATCGTGTTTGGTCACAGAATGAGGGGGAAAGGGGGGGGCAGAGCCTTCTATGTTGGGGCCATCGATGAGGTGCAGAGCAAATCCACATAAACTCGGTTCAACCACCTTTCTATCTGCAGGACAGACTTTACGCACCTTCCTGCCCTGGTATAAATCGCCTTTTAAATGACACATAGAGGACAGTGAAGTAAGAATAATGTGGAAACGTTTTTGTAAGATATGAATGCTTTTTGTTTGTCTAAACATGAACAGCGACTGTCTCTCAGCTCAGCCTTTTCTTCAGCTCTACATCCCTGGTTGGCTCATTATTGTCAGCGCTTTGACGTGTCTCCTGCTCTCTCTTTTGTAGGACATGACGGGGACTCGGTGTCTACCCTGCAAAGCCAAAACTGCGCTGAATGCGAGGGGAGCCCGAAGTTCATAAAAAGGGATTATTTTGCATCTGGGTTGCCTGAGACCTTCGGTGCCTCCGGATTTTACTTTGGGATTTGGGATTTATCGCTTCTCGCCGGGGATGGAAAGCCGAGATTTCGCTCCTCCGCACCACCTCCTGACGGAGCGGAGCGCGTTGGTTCACAGCGCCGCTTCTCGGATGGCGTCAGGCGGCCACGGCTCGGTGCAGCACCCCGCTCACTTCCAGCCCGGGAAATACTACTCATCGCACCTCTCCATGGGTCCGCATTCAGGTCAGTTTTAAACGCGGCTCTTTTGATATATTTAATAACAAAGTGTGTGTGTAAAAAAAATGCAGTTTCTCTCTTTTGTCTGAAGCATATGTTCTCCATATTACAAACTTGGGAAAGCTTTTTTGGACGAACTCATTTACTGCAATCATAATACCTTGATTAGTCCCACGAATGTATGATGTTGGCAAAAGTAAAGAGGCAAAAATAATAATTAAGAGGCAGGCATAACATATTAGAGACATCATTTACAAAAGTACCCATCAAGGTGGACAACAACAAGTACAGTTACAGTGTTTTTAAATAATAAAACCAGTGTAGCAACGAAGACGTATAGCAGCCAGATAACAGTGTATTGAAAGTAAGGAAAGGAACTCGCTCAGAATTTGTGGGAATTTAGAAACGTGCAAAAAATACGCATGAGTTTTTATTTATTTAAATAATTATTAATGACATAGCTGCTTTATATGAAAATAAATATAATTCTAGTGTTTCAGCCTAACGTAAAAGCAAAACATGAAACATGGTGGGACATCCCATTCTTACAGAAACTTGGCAAATTAGATTAATTTACATTTTACGCTACACCTCCTTTTGTTGTTTCACACTTTAAACCTCTCATGATTTTGAGAAATATCAGGATTATTCGTCTTTATAACACTGCAGGGATTATTAGGCGTTTCCAGTATAGCATAATCTTGTCATAGATTTATATGGTTTCATCAATTAGTAAAGTACTAATCATTGCCATTTTAAGCAATTAATTAGAATTGGGTAATTCCACTGCTTATATTTCCCATTAAACAATAAATTAAACACTATTAGCTGCAATTTCAACGATTCTTCCTTCATGTGAGGCTCCAGGAGCTTGGTGGGGTTTGAGGGGGGCACATGCTGGTTTGTACTGGTCACAAACTGGGGGTCGTGTTGGTGGAAGGAGTGGAGCTCTGGCTAATGGAGGTGCGCGTAATACCAGAAAATCCGGTTTCTATATTGAGCTGGGGACGTGACGGGGTGCGAATGGGTTGACAGTGCATGCATTAGATTTAACAAGTAGCTTTGGTATCCTGTCTCAATAGGGGAGGGGGTGGTGGGCGTGTGTGTGTGTGTGTGTGTGTGTGCGTGTGTGTGTGTGTGTGAGTGTGTGAGGAGAGAGAGAAAGAAAGAAAGCCTCTGCTCGGAATCATACAGTGTCTATAAACTGGACTCACTGGATGAATGTAAACGTGGCCGATGAGAAATCCCATTAATTATCATTTGCCAATGCAGCGTCTTCTTTAAATAGACGTGCAGGATCCTCTGTCTGCACTCATTTGCATATTCATTAGTTTTACACAACAGCGAAAAACGTCCAGTAAAATGTTCAAACCAAATGCAAAAGTGTCCACATTTCCGGACTATCTAAACATTTGGGCACACCTGGCACTAAACTGTCATATAGTCCTTTGTATTGTATATTTTCCATAATACCATTGTAATATTCAAATCTATATTTATGTTCGTGACCTTTTTAGTACCTTGCCTTGTATTCTTTTATTCCCTCTTAATATGCTTATTGTATGCACCACAGAAAATTCCCTGTAAGTGAGAACTTGGCAATAAACCTCATTCTGACTCTGAAACACATTAAGCTCAGCGCAGTGTTTGCAGAAATATAAACTGAACCAGTTTGACATTTAATGTGCTGCTGCTGGTCTCCACATGTAGAAAAGGCTGATTAAAATTAATATTATTATTAGCTTGGTTTGTCTTTAGAAATGTCCATACGCTCCAAAAGACTATTTACTTAAAAGCACATGTGTCATTTCATATGTCCAGTATTTATATGCTTTTATTGTCTATAATGAAATTACAATATATATCGGACTAATAGCACAAGATTGAAATGTATTATTTCCCATAATTGAGTAATTTCTCGAATATATCCTAAAATGTAACATATTTAATCGTCTGCAGGTAGAAATGTGTTATTGTAAATGTATTATCCAGAATTACATGTATGTATCATGGAAGGACACACATTATATAATTTACATAATTACAGTCCTAAATGATATTAAAATATAATACACCATAATTCAAACTGTATAATTTATTTAATACGAATAGAATATTTTGTATATTTCATGAGGCATTCAGCTGCATGTCTCCTTTGAATTCAACTGAAGTGATTTCGCCTGTTTTAAACCTCTTACGGGTTGTTTTAACAAATCTAACTTGCATAACGATTTAAAAAGCTCCGATTTGACTGATATTGCAACCCGCTGACATATATTATGGTCCAATTTAAGGATGATTCTGTGAAAGGGAGAAAAAGCGTACTAATGCAGGGTGATAATGCTATTGAAATATATTCAAGAGGGCCTCTCGCTGGGTCTCAAGGTGCATGACACTGTATTGAGATTCCAGATATCCAGACTCTCCATGCATGTCCCTGATGGGGTTTTGACTGACATGATGGGCATAGAGGATTGTTGTTTTGGGATGGGGGGTTGGGATACGTGTGTGTGTGTTTGCTGGGAGGTTAGGATGGGGGTTACCTTTGTGCTTGCCCCCCTCCTTAGAGATTCAGAAAGCTGTATGCCTGGCCCTAGGCCTCGGCGCAGGGGGTAGATATGATGTGGCCAGGAGGAGAAGGGGGGGTTTGTTTCAGATCTTTGGAAAGAGACACCATTTTTTTTCAAGACCCAACCGGTACAGTAATTCAAAGTAAAAAATAAAGAAGCTCATTCCCCCCTGTTTCTTCATATCCCGGAAAAATCTGCAATCCATCAATTTGCCGAAGCCTCTTATTTAGATCAGCATGGTGTCTGCTTGAATATGGTCGCGCTTGACAAGGTGATGGAATGACAGACGCATACCAACGCCATAAGATTCAGCCCCCGTTTGATAAAAGCCCACAATGATATTACACAGACGTTTAGATTACTGATAGCAGCAGTGGGAGAGCCTTTGTCTCTCCTTCCCCTCCCTGTTTCGCTGCCTTGCTTTTATTCCAGTCTCCCTCTCTTTCTTCCCCTTTTCTGTGATGTTAGCCCCTGGGCAGTAGTTGTGCAAGAGTGTGTGTGTGTGTGTGTGTGTTTGTGTGCGTGTGTGTGTGCGTGTGTGTGTGTGTGTGTGTGTGTGCGTGTGTGTGTGTGTGTGTGTGTGTGTGTGTGTGTGTGTGTGTGTGTGTGTGTGTGTGTGTGTGTGATTAAGGTTAGGTTTAGCCTGCAGTAGCACAGGTGTGCCATATTATAGAGGGCGTGGCAAAGCTTGTCATTGAACAGGTGTGTTACTTCCCAGACAGCAGACGGTTTTTGTTTACACGAGAGTGTGTGTATGTGTGTGAGAGAGAGTGTGTGTGTGTGACCTAGTAATACAGACAGAAAGAGCACCCATTCATGTCACATGTGAGCACACATGCACAGCTGTACACACACACACACATACACACACACAGAGCCCTCAAAGGGTTTATATCTTAAGCTGCTTGTGTTTTGTGCTTTGAAAAAGTAATAAACCATAATCAGAATGTTTTGGTTGGACTAGATAACCCCTCGCCGCTTCTTCTTTTCTCTTTGACCCTTTTCCTCCTTCTTTTCTTCTTCTCCTTTTACTTCTTCTTGTTCTTCTTCTTCCTCATTCCTTCTCGTGTAGATCTTGTGGCTAAATTCTGCAATTCTTAGCTATAAATGTGTGTGTATTTGTGTGTGTGTGTGTGTGTGTCTTTGACATGCAGCCGCCCCGTCCATTCATCATGAGGCTGTCAGTAATGTGTCTCTTCTCTTGGAAGTTTCTCGACTTTGGCTTTGATCGTCACTGGCAGCCGCGATGAGACACGCCCCTTCACCCTCCTACCTGCACACACCTTCACACACAAACAACTTGCATGACGCAGAGAGAAAAGATAATGTGTGTGTGTGAATTTGCGAGCTACTGTGTGTGTGCTTATACCCTTAGAAACACCGAGGTCTGTATTGCAGATCCAGATGTGTATCTGTAGGGTTTTGATTATGTTAAAGGCCATAAACAAGAAAGAAAGAAGGAAATAAAAGGGTGAAAAGATACTATGAGCATGTAAATGATAGATGAATGGAGTAGAGGAGGGGGAGAGTAGGGGGAGTTAGGGGGAGTCGAGAGGCTGAATGTTTCCACCTGGTTGGTAATCCAGTCAGATTACCACTGCCTGACGGCTCCCACTGGCCGCCATCCCCGAGTCCTCAGCCTCCGCTGCCTCTCCAGAGTGCGAGAGAGTGAAAGCGAGAGGGAGGGGAGACACTTGCCCGTGTGTGTGTGTGTGTGTGTGTGATGAGTCAGCAGTGGATGAGTCTCACTCAGACAGACCCCTCCCTCACCTCAGAAGCTCTACCCAGGGTACAGGGGGCACATCCCGGGTGCAGCGTGCAAGACGACCCCCTGTGTGCAGAGACAGCTGGTGGAGGCGGCAGCCAGACGAGCTGCGATTGGACGCAGAGAGGAAGTGTTAACTGTCAATTCAATTTAAGAAGAAAAAACACAAATGCATTAAAAATTAACTAAATTGGCTTTTGGGACACAATCGCACCAATGCATACTGGGTTAATGTGGTCCCCATGGGGTGGAGACCAGGTTGTTTTTTACCCTTTTTGTTATTTTACTTAACCTAATACGGTTAAATGTTACTATTTGTTACTGATTGTTCATATTACATTTAAATACCATATACACACTAACTAAATTGGCTTCTAGGACAAAATTGCACCAATTATGGGTTAATTTAGTCACCATGCGGTGAAAAATGTGGTTGTTTTGACCCTTTTTGTTAGTACACTTAACCAAATCGTACTATTTGTTAATGATTGTTCATACTAAACTTGTATACCAGATACGCACAAGGGAATATTTTTAAAGTAAAGCCTGTTTTGTGTAACACTGGGTCAAAATAACCATATTTTATGGAAAATAACACCCACTGCATACAAATTCCCAAAAATAATTTTTTACATATCCACTTTTTTTTATCAACCTCAAAACATTGGAAA